GTCCGGAGCGGGGAACCGGGAAACCGGTGAGAAGGGGAAGGAAGCCCTGCCCGGGCCGCGGGCGGGCGGATGGCGCCGAGGAGAGGGAAGAAGGGGGACCCGGCACCGGGGAGAGGGAGGGAGGGGGACGGTGCCGGGGAGAGGGGACCCTGGATCAGATGCTGCGCCCCAGGAGAGCAGGCGGGCGCCCCGGGCGGCCCCACTGGCCGGGGCGGGAAGGGGGACGGGGACCCCAGCCGGCCAGGCCCAGGGCGGGGCCCTGTGCGGAGACCTCCAGCTGCCACACCCCTCCCTTCCCCAGAACCCGCGGGGAGGGGAAGCCCACGGCCCAGGAAGGCCGCCCGGCCCCGGGCCGGGCCGACCAGGCTGTCCGGGTCCTGGGAGGCCCTGCTGGGGCTCCGGGCGAGACGCTAAGCCCTGGCTTCTGAGCAGGAGGGCGGCGCGGGCGGCACCCCCAGATCCGACCCGGCCTCCCCTCACTGACCTCCAACTAGGAAGTTGGCCTCCACCGCCCTGGCTGGAGCCCCTGAAGTTTTTACAGCTGGGAAGCCTTGGTAAACCAAGAGGAAAAGCCAGGGAAGATGGAGCGTGCCAGCGTTAGCAGAACCCCAGATGCGGGAAGTCCGTCCGCAGGGCTGGCCTGGGGGCCTCCCAGGGAGGCCTGCTCCACTACCTCCCCACCCCACACCCTAAATTGGGGACTCCCAGTACGCTTGGGAGGAGCCAAGAGCCGGAAGCCAAGAAAGAGGAACCCAGGCTTCCTCCTTCCCAGGGTCTGAGCAGATGGGGTGCCCTGGAGCCCTTCTGTGTGAGCCTCCTCTGGGCCTGGCCTGAAAAGATGGGGGCAGAAGCTGCTCCAGCCCCTTCCTCGCGAACCCGCCCCCAGAATGCTCAGGCTGGGTGTGGGGAACAGAAAAGGGCCGGGGAGGGAAGGGAAGGGACCCTCTCAAGACCCTGCCCAGGGGGTGGAGGAACACAGTGTGCTCAGAACTCGGCCCCTTCCCCCGACCCCCAGGCCGAGGTAAGGGTCAGAAGTTGGCACCGCGGAGCCTGGGTGACCCCTCCACCCACCCATGCCCACCCCACATGAGGCTGAGAAGCAGGTATGCCACTCCCTGGACACCAGGGGCCAAATGGTTATTCCTTTAGGAGCCTGCCCGGGTGGGTGGGTGGGCAGACAGGTAGGGTCCGTTGGTTCTGTCCTGAAGGCTGAAGTGCCCCCCTCTTCCCCAGCACACAGAGCCAGAGGAGGCAGACAGGCCTCCCTCCATGTCCAGCCATGACGCAGCCCCCCTGGCAGCCCGCAGCCGCAACCCTTGCTGTCTGTGTTGGTGCTGCTGCTGCAGCTGCTCCTGGTACGTGGCCCGGGGGTGGGCCCTGGTCTCAGAATGCGCACCTGGGAGGTGCAGCTTGTGAGGACAGGGCTGGGCCCTGGTAGCCTCAAAGGTGCACCGTCCAGGGACTGCTGGACATGGGCGGCTGATGGATAGCATGCAGGCTCCCCAGGGGACTTAACAAGGCTCCTGTACCTAGTGTACAGAGGGTATGTCAGTGTGCAAGCACCAGGTATACTGCATGCATATGGTACCCATACACCCAGCAGATGCCTGTTGGTGCCAGTGTGAGCACATCAGGCATTAGTGGGACAAGCAAGTTCCAGATTTGAGCAGAGTCCTTAATGAAGGACTGTGTCAGAGGGCGCTGAGGGGACTTTGAGCCTCTGAGGGCTGAAGAGCCGCTAGGAGGATAGGGAAGCTGGTGGACATTTTGTGACTCACAAAATGGCCCTGTGCAGGCATAGAGCCCCAAAGTGGGGGCTCACCTGACCAGTGAGTCACTGGAGTCCAGAGAAGAGACACAGTACATAGTTAGGACTTCCTGAGAGCCTCAAGTGGCAGGGCAAGGAGAAGCAACAGGAATTGTGTTGCTGTGGAGGGTCTGGACATGGGGAGAAGTTTTCTGTCTAGGCCTTTGGACTGGATTTGTCTGTCATCTGGTAGAGTTGCTGGCTGGGCATGGACAAGGAAGAAGGCTCCCTTAAAAAGATCTGGGTGCTGTAATCCTAGCTACTCAGGAGGCTGAGATCTGAGGATCGCAGTTCAAAGCCAGCCTGGGCAGGAGAGACCGTGAGACCCCTATCTCCAATAAACCACCAGAAAACCGGAAGTGGCGCTGTAGCTCAAGTGGTAGAGCTCTCACCTTGAGCTGAAGAGCTGAGGGACAGCGCCCAGGCCCAGAGTTCAAGCCCCATGACCGACAAAAAAAAAAAAAAAAGATCTGGGTGCCAGGCACGAGTGGCTCACACCTGTAATCCTAGCTACTCAGGAGGCTGAGATCTGAGGATCTCGGTTCAAAGCCAGCCCGGGCAGGAAAGTCCATGAGACTCTTTATCTCCAATAAACCACTAGAAAACCAGAAGTGGTGCTGTGGCTCAAGTGGGTAGAGCACTCACCTTGAGCTGAAGAGTGTAGGGACAGCGCCCAAGCCCAGAGTTCAAGCCCCATGACCAACCAAAAAAAAAGAGCTGGGTATTGGGATCCAGGACCAGGCAGGTGTAGACATGTAGGCAAACAGCAAGTCACACTGCTAACATTGGATCTGTTTGTATCTTCTTCAAGAAAAGGATGAGGTTGAGTGCCCAGTGGCTTAAGCTTGTAATCCCAGCCAGTCTCAGAACTCAAGAGGCTAAGATAGACCTGAGAAGCAGAGTTTGAAGCCAGCCCTTGCAGGAAAGTCTATAAGATTCTTATTTCTAGTCAACTAGCAAGAAAGCCAGAGCTGTGGCTCAAGTGGTGAAAGCTCCCAGGCCCTGCATTCGAGCCCCAATACCAGCACAGAAAAAAAGCGTGCATGTGTGCACGTATATAACGTGCATGTCTATACATACACACGTGTGCATAGATGTGTGTACACACATACATACGTATGTGGACCTGGAGGCACTGCTCAGGTGGTAGAGAGTTGGCCTCGAGCAAAAAAAGCCAAAAGGAGCGCAAGGCCCTGAGTGCAGGCACCAAAAGAAGGGGGGAGGGGCAAAGGGGAGCCCCAGGGCTGACTCCGTAGCTCACACCGTCCCAGTCCACCCATAATCCTCACTACTTAGCAGAGGGAGGTAAGTGGACAATAACCAGACAGGGCAAAAAGTGACAAGGACAGGAGTGTGTCTCGGGAGGGAGCGTGCAAGGCCCTGAGCCTGCTGGAAAGGGGTGACGGTGAAGAGCCTTGCCTTGTCCCTCAACAAGCTGGTCCGGTGTGGGTCAGTGTGCAGAGGGCCTGCTCCACCTAGCAGCAGGCTGACATGTCTGTGCCAAGCCTCTGCCGAGGTCCCCACATGGCAGCCCTGGTGCACAGAGCAGTGTCACCATCCTTTATTACCAGGAACCAAGAGCGGCGGCGAGCGTGGCAGGCCTCACGGGAGAGCAAGCTGCAGCCCCTCCCCAGCTGTAACACTTGGTGAGTCTGGCTACTGCCACCCACGTGCCAAGGCCTGGTTATATCTGGCTTGACATGATCTGGTCCCACAGTGCCCCACCGAGCCCAGAAGAAGTACAGAGTTGGGCGCAGTCCTTTGACAAGCTGATGCACAGCCCAGCTGGCCGCAGTGTATTTCGGGCGTTCTTGCGTACAGAGTTCAGCGAGGAGAACATGCTCTTTTGGTTGGCTTGCGAAGAGTTGAAGGCAGAGGCCAACCAGCACGTGGTAGACGAGAAGGCACGGCTCATCTATGAGGACTATGTGTCCATTCTGTCCCCCAGAGAGGTGCGCCAACTGCTAGGCTGGGTGGGGGTGGCCTGGGAAGAGCACCCTCTGACTCGGTGCCAACCCCCGCAGGTGAGCCTGGACTCTCGTGTGCGGGAGGGCATCAACAGGAAGATGCAGGAGCCGTCGGCACACACATTTGACGATGCACAGCTACAGATCTATACGCTCATGCACCGGGACTCCTACCCTCGCTTCCTGGGCTCCCCCACCTACCGTGCACTGCTGCTCAGCGGGGCCCCCAAGCCCTCTCCTGAGGCATAGGCAGACATTCCAGCCTCTCTGGAGCAGGCCTTGGGGCTCACTTTCCTGGGCCTTGGCTGGCTGGCAGAGCCATTCATAGTGGGCAGTCGCCATGCTGCTTAGCTTTTCCCTTGCCCAGCTCAGCAAGTGCTCCAGCCAGAGTGGGTGGGCTGGAAGCCCCCACCAGCCTGTGGCTGCCTAGCTGGGTCTTCTGCCAGGGTGCCCTCCCATGAGAAGCCTTGGGCCTGGCCTCACGGGAGCCGCGCACCCAGGACAGCCTCAGGTGGAGCAGAGCCCCTACGGCAAGAGACATTCCTGTGTGAACTGTCTGCACCCCAGAACCTCAGAACCAGACGTGAAACCTCAAAGTGAAGCTCAAGCTACAGGGCCTGACTGTATTTTATATGTTCATGAACTTTAAGCCTCGAAATGTACTGACTATGTGTTTATCAAAAAAAAGATGAAAATGTTTTCATATTAATCTCCATTCCTCCAGGTACCTAAAACCGGGTTATCTTATTCCTGAAGGCACTTTTTAAATAGAAGCCTTTAAGAAGAGGACCATCCAGAGCCTGCCCTGGCCCTGCCCCAAAGCAGTGGCCCCAGTGAGTAGCTGTGCTGGCCCTGTGCAGGACACAAGGTCTGTAACTTGGCTTCAACCTTCCCTTGCGAAGCAGGTCAGCATTCTGCAAATGCTTGAGACGCCAAGGAGCCCTCGTCTCCCAGAGGACCCGGTAAAGCCAGGACTGCTGCGATGCCCTTGGTGCTGAGTACAATGTCATCTTTATTTCCAGGCCCTGTACTGCTCCATTTCCCTGCATTTCTGGAGCTTAAGCAATCTGGAGTTCGAACTGCCTAGGGTCCCGAGACTCCTACCCCATGGGTGAACTCCACTCTAGCTAGGAACAGGATGCAGGCTAAAACAAGTCATCAGAGAGGACAGCCAGTCCCTAGGCTGCCTACCTGAGGAGAGTGGGCAGATACTGGGCAGGGTACTAGTCTAAGGGCCTACGTGGGACCTCCCAACCTACCTCACACACACGTGTGTAAGCCATAACACATGACACGTGTGCCACCCCACATCACATCGTTCTATCATCCCCCCAAGAACTAGTAAAGCTCCTGTCTGCAGTATTGCTTCACCAAGCTAAATGCCCAAACATCTCCTGGCCTTATGAGGAAGAGGTAGCCACTGCGGTGAAAGACAGGCCAGTTAGCAGGGACAGGACCCCAATGAAGCCTCTGTACAGCCCACTAGACCAACAGTGGCAAGAAGGCAAAACAAAACATTTAATAATGAGGGCAAAGGGCAGAAAGGTGCATGGCAGGCAGGCAGGCTTGGGACAGGGCATGCTGCCTTCAGAAGGGTCTCCAAAGAAGCTGTGTTCACTGAAAACGCTGGAACCATGGCCCGCAGCAGCAGCACATCTGCACAGGGTTCAGCAGAACTGCAGGGAAGCAGTAAGGACTTCAACAGTGGCTCCCCGTGACCAGGACAGAACCCAACAGATTCACCCAGGACCCGGTCCCGGAGCCTCCCAGGAGGCTGCTTGGCCCATGCCATCAACCCCACATAGACTTAAGGCACCCTGCCCCCAGACAGCAAGGCCAGGGGGTCACCAAGCCCACCTACCTTCCAGCGGTTTCCACACTCATTGCAGACAACAAAGGTGGTCATGGGTTCATCAGAGCTGCGCGTCTGCACCTGTGAGGCAAGCAGCTGAGCCCTGGGTTGCAGAAAGCAACCTCTGACCTAAGCAGTGTGGCCTTTTGGAGCCCCTGGTCCATGGACCCCCGGGTGACTTGAACTGAGGCTTCCCACACACCCCAAGGCTGAGGCCTTGCTGGGCCTCAGCAAGGTGAGCTAATGTGGTAGAGGCCCTTGTTTAGATCTAAAGGGCTTCATGTTGGACTAGGCCCAAAGAGCCTAAAACGTCAGCTGAGGATAAGAGGGTCTCCGACTGGGAGTTCCACGGTGGGGGAATCAGCAAGAGTTCCAGTGGCTATGACCACCTTCCACAAGGGCCTAGAGTACTGTCCACAGCACTGACCCAGGGCCCCAGAAGGGAAAATGGCAGTTTCCATGACCTTTTGAGAAGTGTGGCCAGACGGGAACTATCTCAATCCACTCCCCCTTCCAAGCTCCTAACGTCTCTGGGTCCCAGGGTCTCCTCAGGGCATCCTCCTCAAGGCCCTGGGGCCCTGCAGCCATTTCCAGGCTGTGCACCATTCCTACCTCCCACCCGCACCAACACACACACCTGTCACTCTGTGGGCAGGGCTGAGCCGCTGTGCCCAGCACCCCAGCACAAATGAAACCACCCCCTGCAAGACTGAATGATGGGGGTCCTGGGTACGTGGGCTTGGGCTCAGAGCCCAGGTGTGAGCCGGAGGGCGGTCTGCATGCCCCCAGCACACAGGCGGCTCTCACCTGTGTGTAGGTGCAGTTCTTCTTCCTGCACTTGCCGCAGGTGAACAAGTCTGTCTGTGTGCCACCTGTGCGGGCCATCTGGTGCTCTCGGATGGCCTCCTTGGTCATGGCCTTACGGATCTCCTTCAGCTCATCACTGGCCATCTCCTGGGTGGGGGGAGGAATGCTCAGCCTGCAGATCCAGGAAAGCAGCCCCCTCCAGCCCTCTCGTGGGGTTCACCTCTGACGTCATCACAGCAATCCGCTGGGGCGGGATGACGCCACACAGCACATTCCGCCGCAGGTCCGGGTTCTTGGCATCCTTCAGGTTGGAGATACGGCTCCGCACACGGTTCTTGTACTTCATGTCTGTGTTTCCCACATCCCGGAAGATGAGTGCAGGCATTTAAGGACCCATCTGACACCACTGTGCTCTGCTGGGGGGTGGGGGCGCTAGGTGAGGCGTGTTCTTCCAGTAAGAGGCCAGTCCGCCCAGACTGGATGGGGAGCTGCGAGGCTGCAGCATTGTGCCTTCCCTATACCCACCAGCAGGCAGAAGGCCTCCTGAGAGCAAGCCACTGGGTCTAGGACAGGACAGATAACGGCTTGGAGAGGAGAGGGCATTAGCTCAGCAATAGTGTCCAACAGCCACCAGAGGGAGCTAGGCCCCGCAGCCTACAGAAGGCACTAACCCTATAGAGCCCTGAACAAAGGATATACTCCTCGATCTGAGCCGACAGATGTTCACAGTCCGTACCAACAGCCACATGGTCATCTGCAAGAGGGAGCCCTCACTAGCCATCCACAGTGCCTTTTCACAGGCCACCCCTCAGCCTACACAGCACCCTGACAGAGAAAAAAGGATACACTCCTCTCGGTGGACACTCACCAAGTACTCTAGCAACCCCGAAGACTCCTTCCAGGGACACAGGGCTGAGGAAGGCCCTTGGGGCAGAGGCCCAAGCCACCCACAAATCTGGGCAGTGTCAGGAACCAGGGACTCACGGTCCGTTTGCAGAGCGGCCGTCAGCATCTCACGGCATTTGTTGCGCACAGCATCACAGGTAACAGGGACTGGGGGAAATGTGGTGATCCTTGGGGTGGAGGGCGTCCTGGGCAGCTCTAATCTCTTGCGGCTGGAGAGACAAGTCCGGGCCCATCCTCAGAAAAGTAGGTGTCAAACTACCATTCCTACCTCCAAAGCCTGGGTGTTCCACCCTGACAAACCCCAAGCAAGTCAATGACTTTACCCATCTTCAATCCAGCCCAGCAAGCCCATGTGTCTGCCCCACGGGCCAGAGGACAATGGCAGGCGATGAGGTGCCCAATGGTTCACAGCTCAGTCCCCAGTTGGGGACAGGATGCCAGATCCTTCCTCAGCAGTCAGTGTCTGCTGGTTATATAGGCTGATGAATTCCTGCTACTTCTGGGGTTCCACCCTCCAAGAGTCCCTAGACACAGGCTATGCTGTTGAGAGGGACAGGCAGAGACCTGCAGTGGTATGAGCTAAAAGGAGGCTCTGTATCCCAGGTGATGCAGCCTGAATAAAATGGGTCAAGGATGACCCTCTCCAAGCTGGGCCTCAACAAGGGGCTGACCAATGACCGGGTGACATCTGCCCGGCTCTCCCCTCATTCTCCTATGTAAACTAACTTTAGCAGGAGGCATCCCAGAACAAATTAACTGTACAATTGTGTGGATGAGCTCAGAGGAGCCCAGAGCTCAGCCTGTCTGTCCTAGCCAGGTTCCCGATTCTGACCACTGTTTCCAGGTCTGGCCAAGAATGAAGCTGCTGCTCTGTGGCCATGGGTTCAGAAGAGTTAGGCCCCCCTCTTTGGTTCTGTGGGATCTACTGCAAAGGCCCCAGGCCCCAGAGCCCCAGAGCTAAGAAAGACAGAACAGGCCAGTGAACATCATCCAGGACAGACCGGGGAAAAGCAGCTCCCTGCTGAGGAGGGTAGCCAGGGATCTCAGACGGGTGGAGAGGGGGTCTCGGCTGTGGGGCACAGCACACAGCATGAGGCTGACCAAGCCTGTGTATGAAGAGAGCACTGTCCACAGAGCAATACTCAGGCAAGTGGACATCATCCTTTTTCTGCTGAGGATATCAAGGCCAGAAGGTGGAAGGGTATGCTACCTGGGGTCCACAGCCTCGGAGCCATCCTTTGAGGACGATGTGGGTAAAGACATGCCCCTCCCTCGATCCCTGGTTTTGACATCAGAGGCATCTGCCATTGCCAGAAAAGAGGGGGACACAGTGGTCAAGGAGACGGTAAGGCCCCACCCCCACCCCAGCCAGCAAGCCAGGCATCAGAAGGCTACGAGGCCCCCTGCCAGGGGTCTTTCTTCCCAGCAAGTCTGTTAGCCTCCCAGAACCCTCTTTTCATATCCCTCACCCAAGCAGACCACCATGGGGCCTCTCAGGGACCTATCCTCCTTCCCGTGCTGGCTGGAGACCCAGCATGTGTCCTTCTGTCTGGACTAGTCTGCCCTGGGGCCTAGGACGTGCTGCCCCACTTGTACCGATGGCCACGTAGCTGGAAAGAACAGCTGGTGTGACTATCTCACTAAGGTGGACAGGAGAGCTCAGGAGAGCTTGAGACCTTCCCAGGTCCAGAGGCCTAATACAAAGGGGCATCCCCATCCACAAGAACTTCCTTCTGCCCAGCCCTCCTCTGGAGGTTCTTTCCAGAGTACCCTGGCCTTGCTCTTCTCTGTTGACTTTCCCTGGTGCAACTTCCCTACCTCTGGAATGAGAGATTCTGGGTTTGCTCAGGCTCTTCCCTAAGCTCTTTTATCTCCCAACATACACCCTTAACAGTCAGCCTTCCCCACCATCACCAATGTCACCCACCCATCAAACCACTTCATCACCAATGGCATGCATTGAACCACTTCATCACTGATAGTACCCATCAATCCACTTCACCACCGATGTCCCCCATCAATCCACTTCACCACCCATGTCACCATCAATCCACTTCACCACCGATGTCACCATCAATCTACTTTATCACCGGTGTCACCATCAATCCACTTCACCACCGATGTCCCCCATCAATCCACTTCACCACCAATGTCACCATCAATCAACACCAATGTCACCATCAATCCACTTCACCACCCATGTCACCATCCATCCACTTCAC